GTGTTAAGGATGAGGAGAAAACAATGCAAAAACGGTTGAGTCTGCATTTCTGCTGCCAAAGGTCCTGGTGAATGCAGGTGATGAGTGAGCAGTTTAGGCACTCCAGTGATTTATTATCTGATAACCACCATAACCCCAATATTACAGAAATGTGTTTTGTAAAGAAAAAAAGAAAAGAAAAAAAAGCATTATATGACATTGATTTATGAAGGTATTGAATGGGTGGAGTCACACAGGAACTGGTGGAAGATTGTCTCTCGCTCCCTCTGAAAGGTTTATAAGAAGCTATTTATAACAAATGATTAACACAATATTTTGTAGACAGTAATCTAGTAAACAAAAATGTATCAACCATATTGATCCATTAAATGTTTTAACCAAGTCTTTTTTCCCGTTTTATGAATCATATCATAATTTGCATAATGAATTCAATTTTTTCTCTTATAAATTTTGCACATCGGTCATTTTGCATCATAGCAAAAATTACAGAATAATTACAAATATATACAAATAAATATATACAAATTTAACTAAACAGAAATGAAAGTAAAAATAAAAGCTAAATCTCAATGTTTCCAATTTCTAATGAGTTAAAAAAAGAGAAAATTAAATAAGACGAAGACACTAAAGTTAACAGTAGCAGCCGTTGCTGCAATAGTTACCAACACAGTCTCATAACCAGACATAAAATTAGATCCTTAAACTGATTCATTTCTGTTTATTGTGTCCAGGACAGCTGGACATCGTTTAAGTGTCTTGTTCTTTTATTGTTGTAAAAATATTCTTGTTTAACATGACTTTACAGCTATTTGCTCTGTAAAAATGAAATGTTTACCCAGACATTGCAGCCACACATAAACCATGTCGCAATGTTGTGGTATTTTTCTCAACAGCCACAAAGCAGTCTCACTGTGGTTTAGTAGTTTAACATGCTGCAGGGTTTGCTTTTCCCCCAAAGAGACTCACAATTTCCCATAATGCACGCAACTGACATTACATTTTGAACCTTTTAGCAATATTAAATATTTTATGTGTCACTGGGTGCATAGATATAATTTAGAACTTTAACTAACCAAATAGTCAAAATATATAGTATATGTAGCATATTGATAGTACATAGACAGACAAAAATGCTATATTTCTATTACTTAGTTTAACAGCTTTTTTTTTTCAGGTATTTAAATTACTTTGCCTTCAGAATTTTTATTATGTCTTTTACAGAATCTCTCTATTATAGTTAACCACAAGGTAATTGGCATTCCTATTAACATTATTTTTCAACTGCCTTTTAGAGAGAATAAATAAACCAAAACAAACATATGTTAACTTATATTGCAACATCATTTTCCTTTGCAAAGGAAATCTAATAACTGTCAGGATCAAGATTATAGTCTGTCAAAGACAGACTTTTGCACAGAGCAGTAACAGAAAAATAACTATTTATGCCCAGGAAGCAGGAATGATATAACTGTTGAACAGTGGTCCAAGACCTGGAGTAAAAAAGTATGACACACATATAGTAAGCAAGAAGAACCACTCAGTCCAGAAAAAGCTTTTGGAAGGAAAATGTTAAAGACATAGTCAGGATAAATAATGTAATTTGTCCTTAAAAAACCCAGAACGGCTAATTAAAACACTAATGAATGACTTCAGAAAGTGAGGAATGGAAGTGTCAAAGAAGAGAATCAATAGAACTGTGCACAGGCATGAACTGTAAAATTGCAGACCATGAATAACAACTTCTACAGGAAAGACACACGTTTACCTAATGCAATATGGACAGATATAGAACAACCTTTCAGTCATTTGATATTAACAGGGTAAATATGTGCATGTTTATAACCCTACTTTCACATTGCTGCTTTGTTTAGAGGTCATTTATACCTCGGCTCTCTCAGATGGGCATTGGTTGTGAGGTTATACAATGTTATACAATCTGTTAAAGCTGGATCAGAGCTTTCTCTGTTGTGATGTCGTATCGATGTGTCTCTACACGAACCGTTCTACAAGTGTGTGATCTGCGACCTCTCACACATTGACCCACTGCAGTGCACAGCAGCAGTGGTGTGATTCATGGATCAAACATCAGTTTCTGTCGGATAAGATTAAGAACTCTGTTTTTCCCAGCAGGAAGCCGCGAAACAATTTGTATGGAGTCCGAATTTCATTGCTGGAACTTTTTGTATTAAAAGAGAAACTGTAAGGGAAGTGAGATTGTGGAAACGATTTCAGAAAATGTGAAAAGTATCCCCTATAATTACACAGATGTCTAAGCATGTTTTGTCTGAAGAGATCACTTCTAAGATTGTTGAAAAACAGATTTCAAAAGAAAACTGCAAAAGTAAATTGGTAATAAAATCTGTCCTCCCTGACCAGTTGGTGCATTTCTGTTGTTACTTGGGGAAATTACTGAGGTTCCTCTTTCTTTTGAAAGGATTTCCTGCTAATTCATGTTGTCTGGTTTTCCTCCCTCTTATTTGAGCCCAACTCCAGAGAACAAGCCGAGTCATGTTGTATTGATCAGAGATGACATTGCGCTGCAGGGAGAAAAAACATCTCAAGCTCACAACATCCAGTCTCTCCAACTGATAGCATGTTGTCAAAGACTCCCTGCTGTCCTCGTATGCCTTTTTTATTTATTTTTTTTAGCTCTAAGCGATTTAATTTTATAAATCTACCATTTTAGCAAGTTTCACAATCAAGTGTACTTTGAAGCGTTTAATTTAGGGCATTTGGGATGTCTTATGAGTTATTTCCTTTTGGCTTCTACTTGTTGTGAGGGATTCAGTTCAGTTTATTTAAATAGCACAAAGCCACAATGCTGCCTTCATTGCTGAGAACCTCCACATGTAGTGATTGTGCCCTTTGGTTTGAAATGAGATGTTAGTAGAGAGAGATTAAGATGCAAAACAAGGCTCACATTTCATCATCTTTTTTATTCTTTAGGTTTATTCAAATTGATGTTGGTATAAATCAGAAATCACTGTAAACAAGCAGTGCCTTACAGCCAGTGCTGGACAGAGAGGACAGTTCATTTGTGTTGCATATTCTGTCCAGTAAAAGATTTACCTTTTGCTAACTTGAGCCAATGGCTTGACAAGAGTTGAAATTTGTTAAACTTGGATCGCTCTCCATGTTGACGCAAACTCTGAGCCAGTAGATGCAGGATATTTATCAAACTGCTCCACACCCAGTGGAAAGTAGGCAGTGAGCGGGGAAATTGATTTCTTTCAGAGCTAAACACTGCTCCCTGGATCTTTCTGGTCTCTCATTCTTTTTCTTCCTGTCTTTTTTACATGTAGGGAATGTTCTGCTGTTTGTTTTATTGGCACAACACAAATCATCAATTAAGTTGGAAGGTGTGAATTATTGTAAATAAAAATGATATCTATTTAGTTATTATTCTGAAATAGTTGGCTATTTTTGCTGTACTCTTTTGTAGATAAATACGTTTGACTGCAGCATCTTCTGTGATATTTTCATTCTCCAAATCTCAATACAGGTTTAACTATTAAATCTTGCAGCTTGCTCGGTGCATGTAACTTTTGAGAGCAGCACAACAATGTCTGTATTCGACGTAGAGAAATTAAATTTCAGTACCTTGTAATTAAAAAAAAGGTTGTTCAGGGTTATTGAAGTTTGGTTAGGGATCATGTTATGTTGTCAGATTTAATAAGAGGTTGAAATTAGGAATAATTATAAGAAATTACATTAGATTATCTTTAACTTGAGGTTAGAGAATTTGTATTGAAAAGGAAAAACTATAGTATGATATTAACCCAGATCCATGAAACAGTTGAAGCATATCCTCGGTGGGGAAAAAAAAAGAAAAAAAAAGTCTGTTTCATCTGTAAAGTAGGATTTATGTGCGGTTCATTTTATCACCAAAGTCCCAGATTTGATCTCTTTAGTGAATAACTTTTTCATGTTGGAGTCACATATCACTTTGATCAGTGTCTCATATCACCAATGCCGTAAAGATTATTTCTTGGATTAAGCAATAAAGCATATTTTTCTGCATTGAGATTTAATAGATTAATTTCCTTTCTTTAACCCAAGATATGAGCATAGATGTCTGATAGTTTAAGAAACTTTTGTAAGCATTTCAAGGAAAACCTTAAAGAAGCTTGGAAATGGAAATTTTGTTTGCTTAGGTTACTTTTCTCAAATCCTACACTTGTGCTCATTTCTGAATTGTATGTAAGGGCTTAAATTTTTTATTGTTGAGTACATATGCTGAATGTTAACTGAAAATTACTGAACACTTTTTTTTCCATGACTGCATTTCTTAAGTATTTGGAAGTAAAATAAACTTTATTCAGCCTAATAATGCAGGTAGCAATCTTTCTCTCTCTCATGATCTGCAACCTTAGAGCAAATTGATTACCTACAAGCTAGACATCTTAGAATATAGTCCATTGACAAATCTGTGAAGCTACACTTCACGTATAAAGATGCGAGGAACCGTGTGATTTGCTGGAACAGCAAGGACAGAAAGCAATACTGATTTGCTTTATATTATATCTTACATTGAGTTTTTAACAATTGATTTATCTACAGCTGAGCAGTGTTACCTTCATAACAGTGGGTTGTTACAGTTTCTATATAAAATTATGTGTAATTTCAGCTTCAAAATACAGATTGATTGCCTGTGAGGAGTGATTTGTTGTTGTTTTTGCACTCGGAATGTTGATACTCTGCAAAACAAATCCACTTTCATTTTAAATGATTTCTGTTTTGAGAAAAAAAAATAGTTTTTACAGTAATTTGCACTGGTCAATATTGAATTGAGAGGAGCTGCTGTAGGAAAATGTCAGTTGCATTGTTTAGCAGTGTGCTTTATGTTTTATAATTGTGTGTTTGTCCTTTATCTAGCCCTGATCAATACCCATCATTCCCTTCGCCTCTAGCAAACCCAATTTAATTACGACTGTGGCTGCAAGGAGTGATGCTTTGCTTTTTTGCCCACTGACCGATGTGTCCTCTCTCTTGTTTTGCAGATGATGAAGTTCGCCTGGGACAACTACAAGCAATACGCCTGGGGCAAAAACGAGCTGCGGCCTCTGACAAGAAATGGCCATATCGGCAACATGTTTGGTAAGTTTCTGCAACTCGGCTGGCCTCAAAAAATCCCAGAAATGTTCCTTCTTTTGACTACCTATAAAGTTGTTGCAACCTTTATGGTCTGAGCAGGTTTCTTCCACAAAGCAGAACAAAGGCAGACCTAAACAAAAAAAGAAGTTATCAGGTACATCTCAGGAAACTAGAATGTCATTGAAAAGTTTTTTTTTTTCTTTTTAATTATCTGAATTAAGAATGTGACACTCTTTTTTTATGATAAATGGCTTTCCATACATGAAATTGATGGTGTGAGAGAGAGAGGGTGAACCACAGATACATTATACACTTTAGGACATCCTTGAATCGTAGGGGAAAAAAGCTACAGTATTAGATCTTTAGAAAATAGCTGTCAGGTCTCAGAAAAAAAAAAAATAAAAAAATCTGGTGTCAGGGAAAAAAAATCTATCAGAGCCTCTTTTTAAATTTAAAAGTATTTTTTTTTCTCGCAGATATTAGAGTTGAATAAAGCTACATTTCTACCAAAAACATCTTCAAAGTTTAATTTGGATAATGAAAAGTGCAGCATATCAATTTATTTTCTAGGTTTATCCCCAAAGCCTCAGAACCGGTTTTTATTCACGCTTTTCTTATTTACAAAGGCTGAATAAAAACCTAGAAAGAAAAGGTCATTGCAGAAGAAGGCGTCTAATCAAAATGCTGTTTCTAGCCATGTTGATGGGCAGTTGAGTCAAAGATTGATAATTCAAATCATTAAAATTAACATAAAGAACAACCCTTTTAAAATTTTCAAGTAGATCCAGAAGGTGTGGTTCTACTGGGGAGGCTGTTTTAAAAGTCACGCCTGTAGAACCTCGGGGTGTTTGCCTCCATACTACACCACAATGATACTGGTTCTAGACAAAGGAGTCCCCACCATCTTGAAGTGCATGCTTTGTATTCCATGTATTTTCAATATGTTAACATTTCTATGTGTCAAGACTCAGAGCGTTGGACCTATAATTCAGGCAGACAGAGTGAAGTGATTTATAAACAGCATTTATAATCGCTCCAAAGCTGATGACAGTGAGTAGGTAGAAGTCCATGCTAGAAGATCAGAGATCAGAGGAGGTACCAAGGGAAATCCAAGCCGGGGTTGGGAGACAGATCCAAGGTCGTCAGAAGGCAGAATCCAACGGAAATCCATAGACAGGTCTGGCCAAACAGATCAGAGCAGGGGCAAGCAAAAGTCAGAAGTCCAGGGGCAGAAACTTGTCAGATGCTAGGTAATCAGAACCACATTGAGTATGCTAGAGAACTCTCAGCTACGGCTCGAATAATCTGGCACTGATGGGTGGGAACTAACAGTTTAAATAGGAACTGGAACAGGTGGATATGATGAGTGATAATGAAAACTGGGCGGAGCTATGCAGGTGGATGAAATAAACCAATAATCCAGTGATCAGTGCCAAGATCATGACACTATGCTTGAAATCCTTGTTTCTGTTGGGGTTATATAGAAATTTTATGACAAAAAATTTTTTTTAAGTCTTTATAGTAAGCCACATTCATCAGATGAAGACAATTTGGGTGTTTAAAACATATATTTTTTTTATGGAATAATGCTTTAAAGCTTAAGATGCACCTGTAAATAGATGTTGCATAGTTTACAGAGAAAAAAGAAGTTATATACAACTTTAAATCACAATTTAAATTTAAAGTGTTGTTATACAAAAATCCCTTTTTATGTTTATATAGAGCAAATTTTCATTATCTTATTAAAGCTGCCTTAACATTTAAGCCAACAGTGAACAGTTTTCCTTCGAGCCACTTATGAATCAGGACAGAAATAACAAAACAATATTGATCATTTCATTTGTGGGCAATGCTCAATTCTGCCATAGTTAGACACAGACCCTTTGCAACCTAGAAAGAACTCTGCACTAAGCCTGTGTTGACAAGTATTATATATAAACACCCTGCTATGTTTTATCCTTTTTTTAACATTACTGTTAATTGTCTCCAGCTTTATTATTCATTAAATGTTTTATGTCATATTATTGAATCACAATTTGACTGAAAGGATTTTTAATGGAAAGAATTATAATTTCAATATGTATTATAATGTCTACACTTAGAAAAAAAAAAAACATCAAATAAAATAAAGGAAATCTTGATCAATAAAGATGTCACATGTTTATAGCAGTTTGTATTTCCTGTAACTTATGATCTAAATGATTTATAAAGTTAGACTCCTGACATAAATTGCAACAAGTTTCACATGTTTTCATCGTATTTTGCTTTTGGCATTACGTTTGCTTCAGCTTCACATGAAATTTCCCACAATACCAGGGGAATGCATCTCTATCAGCCCTCTAATTGGTGCTAGATCCTGAGGGGTCCTCAGGTCCTCTTCAGTGGAGCATATCAGGCTCTTCTCACTGCTGTGCTTGAGGGAAATCCCACAATGCTGCCCTCAATAAAAGGTGGATCAGCTCTTAATAAGACTGGATTGGTAGTGTCTTCTATACCTGAGGTCCCACTCCCTCTTATCTGTAGGGATTCAGCATTATTGAAGATGATGATGACACAAGCTTTTCTCTCACTTTTTTTTTTTTAGCTTTGTTCCCTTTGGTGCTGCAGTTCCTATGAGGCTGTGAAAAAAAGAGCTGTTAAATCATATGAGGGATTACATTTCAAAGCAACTCATCCACAATGACTTTCTTATGTAAAGTAACAGAAACAGTTTAATATTAAAAGACAGTTGAAGCACACATTTGAAGTACATTTTTCCGTAAAATACTTCTGCTATCATTTGCTGACGCAGATAGTGAATAAAATAAAAAATTTTAATTAAAATAAAGAGCATTTTATTAATTTATTGTATTTATTGTTTCATTCAGGAGAAATAAAACTTTTCTACTGTAGCTGTTTTAGAGCAAATCCAGGGCTGGTGCTAAAATCTGTTCTAACAAATTCCTTAGCTTTGATCTAAAACATAGTGTTAACCTCAAGTCAATGTTCAAATAGAAAGGAGTGAGTCTAGAGCAGTTTAATCGTGTGTGATGGTAGTTTGTTCTTTCTTTTCTCTATATGGCTGGTCTAAATTGCGCTAAACTGCTCCAAGTAATAAAAATCAGGGGGAATTTTACAGTATGCTGGGCGCCTCTAGCTCCTCTAGAGCAGTAACGTGACGAAACACAGCTGTGATGTCAGTGTAGTCAAACGTCCTCAGGTGGGTTATAGAACAACGACTTTATGCATTGTTAAAAACTCCGAAAGGTTTTTTTAAAACTTCATTATAATGGTCTATTGTACTGCTGTCAATTGTAGGAATGGGTCTAATTCTGTTTTGCATTGAAGTTCGTTCCAGAAAGTAAATAGATTAGCCAAAAATCCACCAGACAATCTGTGGCATCCAAGCCGATACAACAAACTATGTTCGGATCACATCACGGCAGATTCTTTTATCATCAATCCTGTTCTCACAGCATCAGTTGGATTCAATATACCAAAGTTGCAATGGCTTGTTTTCTCCGTTGTATAGCTTTAATAAAGTGCCAAATGGCAGTAAAGCTCATTCAAAGCATTCTTTGTTTTTTTTATGAAATATTTTATTTCGTAAAACAACAAACGCTAGCTAGTTGCACAGTTTAATATAGCTGCAACGGCATGAGCCGAACTGGGTAATAACCACATCCGAAGGGCAATGTTTCCCACCCGGACAGCAGAAAGGATCTGGTGCTTGGACCGCTCGCTGCGATCGGATTACGCAGGGACCACTTTCCACATCCGGGCAAAGCAGCAGAGCACAGCCTGATATCCAGAACCACCAGCACCCCTCACACACAGCACAGCAGTCTGTGGAAAATGTTCTGAAAGATATTGAAATTCCACCAGCTCTGCTTAAGATCAAAGTTAAACCAGCGAGCATTAATAAAACCCCTAAGACTCTGATTGCTTTGTATTCGTCCTCGTTAAAGGGTAAAAACTATATATAAAATAAATATTGACTAGCTATGTAAAATAACTACTTCCTGACTAAACTGATGTCACGTCATCCTACAGTACCTCAGTGGGTCACGTGACCGAATGGTGAATTTTGGGTCATCTGCTATCTTAGTGAATTATTTTATGCTATAAACAACAAAATGCTGGACATTTTTTCACTTGTGGTGTATTTAATTTTGTACATACTATCAAATAAGAAACTATAAGTATGTGTTTTCTATTTGAACAATAGAATCAAATAGTTTGGTAATTAAAAGGATGGTATAAAACTCTAAAAAAAAAAACCTGTCCAAACGAAGCTGGTTTCAGTGTAAGCGACAAGCTTTCTTTGTTGGTCATTGGTCTCATCACTGTGAAAAGGGCCTTGAAACCAAAATAGTTTTAATCAACCGATGAGATTTGGTTTCAGAACAGTTTCCACGTAAAGCTACCCAAGCCGGGGCACCGTTTGGAGAGTTCAAGTCATGTGACCAACGGTGAGCAAAAAGTAGTGATCATCTGTCCGAATGGTCCGTTAACTGAGTTTACGGTACTATAAAGTCCACCATATAGTCCCTGCTGTCTATAGTGATTGAGGGATTTAGGGATTAGGGCAAACATTCGGACACAGCCTAAGTCTGCATCCTACTTCTCTCTGCTGTACCTGTTTATAGCACTATTGCGCCACCCGCTGAACTGAATACAGTCATATCCCAATATATATGGGTGTTTTAGGACTTTGAAGTTTGTTGTTATCCTTTGAAGAAGTTTGTGTGGCTGCCACATTTTCACAGCAGGTCAAAAGTGTGCGTAGATTACAACACATTTTTAGGTGATGCACATTTTTGTAGATGCTTGAACTTGCTAGATTTGATGTTTTGATGGTGAGATAGAGGGAACCACAGATACAGTGTAAATCAGGTTCAAACATGAGGCCCCAGAGCAGTGAATGTCTGTATGTCCTCTAAAAGTAACCTTTGCCTCTTGGTGGCTTCTCTGATTAATCCTCATGTTCCCTGACATGAGGAGTCCCAAAGGTGGACTTTAAT